CTCAGGGATACCATTGCTCAGCAGCTTTCAACTATCTCCCTCTGAAGTACTTTGCATAAATCCATGTACACCATTGTCATGGATTTAGCTTGAGAATTGTCGGCCATAATGGATTCCGAACAATGATGATGTCACACTTTTGCATGTGCACTTTCCTACATGCACATATCATGTATATTGGGGCTCGATGGATCTGAGTCCCACTTTACTCCCATGGCAGGGGTGAGATTTGTCGGGATTTTTCCTGATTTCAGGATTTTTCAACAATCTCTCTTGACAATTTGAAAGTCCTGATTTTTAATACCATTGAGACATTTTCACATAAAAAAGTGGTGTACATGTACAACGCAAGATATTGGTATTTGAAGGGCTGTCTTGAGGCAAACACAAATGTGCATGTGTACCACTGACCCTATCCTGGGCCCAATTTCACGGCGCTGCTTACTGCAAGCGAAAAATCGGCGCTTACCGTAGTAGAAAATATTCTGTGCTTATGGCGAATGTATTTCACGGGTTAGTGAGGAATTTTAGCTCGTGCGAATGTGTACATTCCGTGACTAAGGATTTTGTGCTTAAAGGGTTAGGACAGAAATTTCTGCTGGCGCGGTTAGCGCAGAATGGAGATCATGATCGGAATTCTGCGGTAAGCAGCGCCATGAAATTGGGCCCTGCTGTGGGCCCTCGAAACCTCGGGCGATGATTTTATGGTTATTTCATTTTCCTGCAATCTAACCCCTATATGTACATAAGAAATACAGTGATATCACTACATGTATGTATGTATATTATAGTTGGTTGGGAGCAGAAAACGGATGTTTGCTTATAATCTGTTTCTGTAAAGTGACCAGATGAGCAAGGCTCATTATAAAACATTAATCCCTTTTCACCTAAATGTTCAAAACGTACAGACTCCTCCGATGAAAGCCATGATGCAAAGTAGTGGTGTTTCGTAGGCAGTTACAGTACATCTTCCAGCTGTTCTTAGAGACGCAAAACAACGGTGTTTGTTTGTAGTCAAAACGTCGCCCTTGAATTTCCTCTGCAGAACTGTGACCCTGCATGCTTTGAATATCTCAGTATTAAATATTTGTCTTTGTGTAAGAGTCAGTGTGCCTTTCTTTAATTTTGAGTTTGCTCTCAGTTGATTGTTTTTCAGGTCTCCTTTTTTCATTGTGTTTCTATTGCATGCTGTTGTTTGTTTTTCTCGGTGTGTCATCAGAGGAATTGGTCTACGGAGTCGCAATTCAACTTCCCCGGCCACTAAGGAGCAGATACAGCAGAGGTTAAGAGCTAGCTCGAGGTACATGTATGAGCATCTCACACTTGGATGCTTGGGGATGTGAAATCACCTGTTATGGGGGGAAAAACCTGGGAAGCCTTTAGAAATCTGTAGGTCACTCGCAAGGTCAATGAAGATTTTGATTGTGAAAGTTGAAAGTAGTAAAACTGTACATTAACCCTAACCATCCCAAATCCTTCAAAATCCTTTGGGCGGTTTTGGAGGATTTTGGAGGATGGAGACTGCCTGGCAAAATTGCATTGCTGATTGCAAAGGATGCATTGTCTCAAGGTTGTGGGTTAGACCTTGTATCGTTTATGTTCAGTCATGCATAAACTCACGCCCACATAATATTTGAAATCTTTTTCTGCTGGTTTTTTTTATCTTTCATTTGTTGCAAAGTCAATAAACTTAGTTGATGTGAAGTATTCTTTGCTTTTTTCCACTCTGATTTACTTTCAGTGTTTGAGTTGAGAACCGAGTTTCCTCTGAGCTGTTTATTAGAAACCTAAGTTGCCTCAATTGCATGTTGGAAGCATGTCTTCAGTTGTTATAAATCTAGAGCAGCTTTTCTCCCCAAGGGGGCCCCTCAGCAGATGAGGAAAAGAACCATTTTAAAAGAATCTGATTGTCCCTTTGTTGTTCTTTATTTAGATCTTGTTCTAACAGTTTGACATAGCTGTAAAGCCATTTTGGGAGAGAACCTACACTGTGTTTGTTATTTAAAATCTTGAAAAGTCACCGTTTTTGTTGTCATTGTTACAAGTAGTGCTGGATGTTTGTTTCAGATATTTCAATTCAACTTCCAGTCTTGCCCCTGAGATAGAAGACTTTCTGGTCCAGTCCTTCTTTGCAATTTCAAGCAGTGACCATTTATAAACTGCATGTACCGGTACATGTACTGTTCGATTTTCTTCGGTGACCTGTTCACAAAATGTGTCTGGGATACCAGGCAGAATCGACACCATAGTTGACTAGAGTGGTTGTCGCTCAAACATGCCCTATTATCACAGCTGTCTCTCAGAGTTTGATGCCTCCTTTTTTGTCCTTACACAGCTCTGACAGTGAGCGCCCAGCTTCCAGGACCAGCCCCCTCCCATCCATGGTGGCGTCATCACCCAGCCCCACCCCGAGCAACGTGACGCGGTCCAGCGACCGTTCCATCACGAGCAGTCCCAGGCTGCACGTGGGCAGCGTCCCTGCGATGTCTGACTCGGACCAAGGTGAGAAAGTGTAATTGCTGTGATTGTTTTCCCACACATAGAAGCTATTAAATATGATTCTCTTATTTTACATGTACATTGTAAGCGACGTGATGTGACAAAATTGGGTACATTTGAGCAAGGGGGCAGTTACCGGTACCAGTACATGTATACCTCAATGCAATTTTATGCTAATTTGTAGATTATAGACATTGTAAACACTAATTTGTTTATCAAAATTCCAGTTCCGAGGTGACCCCCGTTCCAGATGAGGAAGAATAAAACATAGGCCCTAAGAGTTCAAACTTTACCGTGGAAAGGATATTTGGCCCATGAAATTTCACTTCGAAAGTTTTACCAAACTCTCGAAACTTGAGCAGTATCTGAGATTATTAAACATCGATGAAAGTCACCACGGTAGCACTAATGGACGTGTACTAATACGGTACTGTACATGTACACTCACGCACCCTGTGTACATGGTACTGTTAGACCACTCTCATTTGGCTTACAACTCCTATGGGCGGCCACAGTTTGCAGAAATATCTCCTTTTGGTTGGTTTTCGATTTTACCTCAAATTCGCTCAAAATGAGCATTTGTCCCATTGATTTTAAATAGGGTTTTATTTTCATTTAGTTTGCGTGTAAATATTAGTATCTGGTGTTTGATGGCTGCGCGGGATGTTAACACTTTTTAAGTTATTCTTTTTCTTTTGTATCGATGGCCAGCCATAGTTTTATCAGTCACTTGTTGAAAAACACGACTGTGACCTCAAAAGGTCAGACTGTACCCATCTTGATTATGTGCATCAGCAAAGTTTTTAGCTTAACCAGAAAAGTGTTTTGTAATAATGGTCAAGTGTGGAAACACGCACGTGGCACTGCAGCAAACGTGGCTGAATTCCAAGTAAAAGTCGACCATCATTAACTGCCTGTAAAAGCAAACGGCATACCACACTTCCTCTCTGTCAGCTGTTTAGCAAAGATAGTCCAGTGCGTGTTTGGATACTTTTTTCATTTGTTATGCGTTTAATTTTTTTTCTTTTGTCTGTGGAACTTTGCATTTCATAAAGTCTGAGAATGGGCCAGGAAATCCTGCTGATAATTCATGGTTGTGTTGCATTTCCTGAGCACTCTCCTTGTGCTGGCTGTGCGGACAGACCAACTGTAAAGAAATGGCAATGAACAGGACTCCGAAATTGATCCACAATTGGACAGAGTGAACATACACTTTTCACAGCAAAGAAATTTAATAGTGATCAGAGAGACATTCCATACTGTGCGTGCTCGCACAAGTACACTTTATTGTTTACGTTTACTGCAATAATTGTTTTTACAGTAATTTTGACTTGCCTTTTCAGCAGGGTCCATCTGGTGTTTGAAATATAAACATAGGTTTGTTATTGTAATGTCTGGAAAAGAAAATCTCATTTTAAACTTACATGAGTGTGTTTCCCCCCCCTATACCCTCACCGACAAATTAACAGACGCGTTCATGTATAAATACATAATACGGTACAAACATGTACATTTAATACAATCTTTCTTTAATCTTGAGATTTGGTATTTTTTCAGATTAGTCATGAAATTGCCATCTTGTAAATAATCGCCATGTAGTCAATTACATTTCACCCAGCCACGTCCTGATATGATGGAATAACACTTCCTCTTTCCAACACATCAAGACTGATCATTTCCATTGAAAGCAGACATTAGAATAAATGCATTCATTTGTATCAGCACACTGAATGTGTCCCTAACGATTTGGCTGGTCGGGATCTAACCTCCACGATGCTCCAGCTAGCCGTGCGTGTATCTAATGCAATTGGTAAAAGAAAACGCGGAAAAGGTTTGTGCTAAGGTTGTTTGTCATGTACGTTGTTATCAGAGGAGGAATTCTGCATTTTTTTTGTGTCCGACATGTTTCCAAGTTTTCACGCCGAAAGAAATTCCCCAGCATTCCTGAAAAGAATGACTCCTCATGAATTGAGCGTCCTGACTGCTTGTGGGGCTGATTTTTTTTATACCCCTCAATTCTCAAACTGTCCTGGTTGTCCCGCTCTCTCTCAAAAGAGAAAAGATTCAGTGGAGACACTGTAAACTGACCAAAGTGTGACCGTCCACTGCAAGGCTAGCTTTTCTCACTTAGTGTTGCTTGCTTTTGTTTTTATTTTCTTGTAAAAATATGTTTTGTTTGTTTGTGTGTGTGTTTGTTTGTGTGTGTGTGTCCCTTGCAGGCAGCCCGGAGGAGGGCAGATCCAGGTCGAGTTCACGACGTTCTTCTATCGCATGGAGTGAGGCGCTTCTTGAAGAGCATAATGAAATGACAACCGACCTGGAGACTACGAAGAAAATGCTGAACCAGTTGCAAGAATTGGTAAGACTAACCCAAAAAACTTGAAGAGATAGACTCTTACAACACAGGTTTGACACAGTTGAAGTTTTTTATTTTTCTTGTTATCGTTGTTATTTTAAATGTTTCGTTATGTTTACAATCAGCGAAATCTCTCTCGCTTTGAAAATGTTGGCTTTGTAAACTGCAGAAAGACAAAGAATTTCCAAGGAACGAAGACGAACTACAGATAAAGGGACAAGTCATCTTTCCACTGAAAACGTTTTTGTCATGTAAACCTGATTTGATCTTGTGGCCGCATTTTGCCTTTCAAAAATTGTTACTCATCACATTAAAAAGTCACAAAGGAGTGCCTATAGATTCCGAGACTTGGTGTTAAGAACTTTTGGGATATCGATTGGCCTATGTACTGATGATGCCACGCTTTGTTTACTTGCGTACTTTCTTATGGAGCCAATCAGGGCTCACGTTCCACTGAGCGGCTTACATACATGTATTTGTACATGTAGGAAAGTACACGCGTATGGATCATGCTATAAATTAGGGGTCCAGCTTTCTTGTGCCCCTGCCACATTTGACATATGATTTTGAAAGTTCAGAGCAATTCTGTAAGTTCCATGAGTGATGAATTAATGCAAATTACCTGCCCAACCGAAGAGAAATTTTTGAAATCAATTTTAGTGATACTTCCACGTCAAATAACACAGGTCAGATGTAACTGGGACACAAAAATGTCACAATTTTGGACCCCGAATTTAAAGAATGGCCCTCACACAAAGTGTGGTGTAAATTGTACAGGGGTCTATTCTTGCCACTTACATCAGAAAACTCTCTAATGTGCCCCCTTTCCCAGTTACTGAGCGGTAGACTCCAAGACGATGACGGCAGCTCTGAGGCAGAGGAGGATCAGATGATGTTTGAGGGATCCAACGCCAAGGAACAAGTGGTGAGTTGGAGAAAAACCATAAAGCCCAAAAAAAAGAGAGATTAGTTTCTTAACGCCTTCACGGCGCAATTATTTTGATCGCGAAATTTTGGCTGTGGTATGCCCTGAATGGAGGGCTTTGTCCAGCAGCAGGCCCCATTGAACCAGCAGCTGCGTGGTGAATAGACTGTATGTGTGGTATGCACTAATCCTCACACAATGGTGCGGTAGTAGCAGTCCTCCGTAGTGAAGGGGTTAAGCAATCTGCTTGTCAGCCATATTTTGCAAGACACTCCCAGAGGCAGATGCAGCAAGGAAATGCTCAACTCCAGGTTTCATGCCCAGATAACCCCTTCCCACAAACCATGCAAACCTCATGAAACCTCGCGGTATACCTGGAGCTACTGCCTTTGTATCGATGTGTGAGCGAGGGAGGGCACTTATATCATGTTTCAGTTGTATTAAGTAATTAAAGTTACACGTTGAGTTAAAAAAAAAAGCCAACAGCGGTTTCCTGTAGGACGGTAATATACCATGGGTGTTTTCATTTTTTAATCGGCTGATTTCCTCCTTATGTTTAATTCCTATGTCAGTGCAAATAGAGAACACTACACCGTCATTTGTGGCAAATGAGTTCTGTTTTGTTTTCTCCTACAACACCTGATCTCATTTTGTTTTTTCTTTCCTGCCGCAAGGTCGTTCTGCAAGCCAGGCTGCGTCAGAGCCAAGAGGAATGCGGCCAACTCAAGACGGAGCTCTCCAAGACCAAGCAGGAATGTCGCAATCTGCAGGGGACCAAGGTGAGAGCAGTCTGCCTTGCCTGGCCCTCGCTCTCTCTCCCTGCCTGCCGCAAAGACACTTGCCCGTCTCATCCAGCTGCTTGAGCATTGTGAAGGGTCGCTTTAACTGATGCAGTTGTAAAGCTGGTTGATGTTTGGGAAATTGCCGAGTGGAACATGTTGCTTTAACCCTATAATAACCTGGGCCTTTTTTTCTGCTGGGATGTGAACCTACATGTATATGTGGGTTCAGGGCAATCCTGTGCCAGTATCACCTCCACTTACCACAACAGTTCTTTTCTTTTTTTCATCAGAACTAAACAGAAAATCCTGATGTTCTCTCACAGCCAAATACGTTTTTCATTACCTTTGTTAGCAATGATGAGCCTCAATTGAACACAATGAGTTAGATTGTCAAAATTTCCATTTTCGCTCTGTGTCAGGCCAACTTACACCACCTAAAATGGTTTCATAAGTTACACCAGAATTTGTTGCACAAGTCACAAACCTGTGCATTGCGTACGTTTCGTAAAATGGCTCGTAATTTGTGTGCAGTGTACTCAATAAAATGTGGCGTAAGGGAGGTCGTACCGTTGCAAAATGTTTCGTAAAAATGGCTGCAGGCCCAGACATCATCATCTTCAAAAAGCAACCAGCCTTTTTTTTTGCCGTACAGTCTCAATCTTACACAATCCTCCACTTCTGCGTGGAAGGGAAATGCCTTTCATGGTAGTCTCCTTTCTGGGGGACAAAAGTAAATTTGGGTGACAAATGAATAACTAAACAGTAAATACAGAGGTCACTTTCCCAGTGAAGATTAATACACGCTGCTCATGCCAGCTTTCTAACTTAGAGTTTGCAAAAAATGACAAAATGATTTTGCAAGAACTAATTTTGTTTTTTGCAGTATCGACAGTTCCCATGTACTAACCAAGGAACCAATTTCATGTACATACGTAAAAGGCAAAAAAAAACCCATACTACAAAAGATAAAGCAAAATGACAAAATTAAGGAAAAGAAAAAAAGCAGGTCTTCGCGTTTTTACTTGCTTTAAAACCAGCCAGGAACCAGTGACGAGCAGTACTATATTGCACGATATTTTGATTGAAAACAAACATCAGCTCAAAAGCGAGTATTATTTGTGTGTGCTTTACAGCAAAAGTTCCATGCCCTTCCAGTGACATGAAATTGGTCCGGGTCCTGAAGTCTAGATACTAATTGCCATGTTTACCCCCCGACAGGCCGGGCTCCAGTCTCGACTAACGGAGCAAGATAACGCCCTCCTCCAGATGAAGGCGGAGCTTCTGAGGGTGGGCTTCACCCAACAGAACCAGGATGCCGAAAAGGTAACGGAAAAAAAAAAAGCCAGAGGACACCATACTAACACATCTTGGTACAAGGCAGATTCTTAATAACCCATGCGTTCCGTTAATGTTTTCCCATGCGGGGCCATTATTACCAGGCAAGCTTGGATCATTTCTCAACCCCGGGTTTTGTTCCCGGATGTGGTTTCCCTCTGGGAGTCACTGATAAGTGATAAGCGCTAGGTTTGCATCTCAAGGTTTGAAGTTCATGTTGCGCATGTACCAAAAGGACCTGTGCAGTGTCGGAGTCTTCTGAAATCAGGGTCTTGTTAAGAATTACAGACTCAGAGCCTGAAGCCTATGCCGATTGCAAACCCTCGACTTGAGAAATGATTTCGGTGTACATCAAAATGGGTCATTCTAAAAATTTGGGGTCGTCTCTTTGTTCGTGCAAATTTTATAAATTTACATCACATTTATTTCCCAAGAGTTGAATGTTAATTATGAAATTTGCCCTTACACTGACGTATTTTAATTAACACCGTTTACCCAGTACTTGTCTGAAAGCTCGTGATACAAAATTCACAAGCTTTCTTGGGTGGGACTCGGACCTATAACCACCTGCTTACTATTGCAGACGTCTTAACCACTCCGCCACCGCGCTGCCTGGGTCAACTGGCTGGTGCGAGTTATGCAATTAAGTAACGCAGATTACCCGTCAAACAAATAAATGTAGTTTGAAGTCAAATACGGATGATTCACAGTAGTGCACCACCAAGAGTTTGCAACGTGTTGGCCAATCGTAATGCGCGAAATTTGTCGACCCTTTCCAAACGCGCATTGGGTTGACAAATTCCACGCATTGTGATTGGCCAACGCATTGCAAACTCTTGGTGGCGCACTATTGTGAAACAGCCGTATTCAGTGATACCTGTCCTTCCATGTCATATTATCGCATTCCATGGTGTCTGGTGTAATGAATACACCAAAAATGTCTCACTTTTGCACCCCAAAGTTATAGAATGACGCTCATGTATATGTACATACCGAACACTGGAGTGTGATGCATGCTGGGATAACGAACGATCGATGATGATAACAAACAGTGTAAGGCTCCCATTGCTGCATCGCTAGACATGCTCTTGAGTTTTTTACGCCAAACTTTGAGACCAATGCAACTTTCTGGTGACCTTAAGATACGCCTCGCCAGTTTGTAGTGCGTGGTTTTGATAGCTATTAAACTCTAGCTTCCATTGGTGTGTGACCCTATGCATGTATGCATCCCTCTGTACATATATTTGCACCCTCTGCACCCCTTCCGCACCCCCCCCCCCGCACCCCTCGTAGCCCCAGCACCCCCCCCCCCCATGCCTCATTGTGCTACTGAATAGACACCTATTTTCACTTCATACAGGTAAAATGCACGTCAGGAATGCTTGTTCATTGGTGAAAAATTACCCACAGTTCTTTGTGTTTCCTTGCCAGCATTCTGAAATCAAAACAAACAAGCCTAACCAAGTTGCAAGTGAACTTTTCTGGTAGACCAAGAAACAGTGTTCTCACACATACGTCACAGACAGACCTTGTCAAAACTGACTGGCTGTGGCTAGGAGTCAAATATGTCTATGGGGAGTGGTTTCAGCCGTTAGCCAATGCTCTCCATATGCACCCATATTGTAGCTCTAACTTTTGGACACAGCTACACTTTCACAGGTTGATGTTATTGTTACACCCATATTTTCCTGCCACTTGCAGACGGACCTCAAGAGGCGATTGGAGGAGAAGGAGCGGATGACCTCCGACCTGACCCGGCAGCTGAATCAGAAGGACGACCTTCTGAAGCAACAGCAGGAGCAGATCGAGAGTCTGACGCAGCAGCTGCAGGAACTCAACTCCTTCAAGGTCGGTGGGGTCAGAGGTTGAAGGTCACTCACCACTAGAAATCCACAGTTTCTTGTTCTTCAGGAAAGTCAGACAGTGCAGTAGTTAAAATTACTGCCTTCCATTGTTGAGAAACGTCAACTGATCGAGACTTGACCCAGCTCTCCTGAACTAGTCCCAACTTTCTTTGGTTGCATGACCTGAATTCCAAACTCTCTTTTTTGTTTCATTTTTAAATTCCCGTAGAAAAAGAAGACATGAATCGTGTCGGCAAAACTGCATTGCTGTCTTCCTTATGTGATTTTCTGCAGAAGGATTATTTGGGGGGGGGTATATTACTATTCATTTATTTGTTTCATAAATGTAAGATTCCACTCTCGATTATGCATTGTGTAAAGTTTCAATAGAAAATAAAACATATTATAAAGGCAAATTTTCAGCTGGACTTCGAGTTTCTTTATCTAACTTGGTTTTCTGAGCAAGGATTTGAGACTGATTTGTTGCATTGTTCATATTGTTTGTATTTTTTTGCTTTGATTAAACAGACGGAACTACAGAACCAGCTGGAGAACAAGACTAACTCTGGAGACTACCAGCTGCAGACCCAGCTGCAGGAGTTGACACAACGCCTGGACAACGTCAACATGGCCGAGGTGGGTCAAGGGTCAAACTGGCCATCATTGGATTCTTGTCATGCCACTCTTATAAAGGATCTAATGCATTGAGTCGTATGATTTCAGAGTTTTAATTTTGTACAATCGGACATCTGCCATTTGCAAACCACTTTTTTATCTGAGTGAAAGTAAATGAGCTTGGACAAAATGCCTGAATAAAATGTGGAGAATGTGTTTTTTGTAGTCAGGTGTTTGTGCTTTTGACGCTTAAATCGTGAGAATAATTTCTCCTGTGACTGTGGTATAAATGTACGTCCGATCAGACGTGGATGACGACAGAGCAAACCTGATAATGCAATTACAGTTCGTTTGACCTCCATTTGGCCAAAACTTGAGCAAATTCCATGATGTTGCTTCCACCTGCAGGCAAATCTCGCCGCTCACATCACCTCCCAGGACAGACAGTTGATGAAGCTCGAGGACCGGATGCACAGTAGCACGTTACTCCCATTCAAAGAGGTGAGAACGAGTTTAGCAGTGACTCTCTGGTGATATTTTGTGCCAGGGTGGTGAAAGTTGCTGATGACATCACACATCGTTTACATGTGTGCGTGCTTGTAGAGCTCAGTACATTTCGGGCCCTAAATTGGTCCATATGGAAGCATACCCTTAAAGAAAATGTGATACCATCAGTATACAAGCCTATTTAGTTTTGCTTCAGGCATCTCGATTTGAACTCCTAGCTGAAATGTGTAAATCAGGGCTGAGTGAACAGTACAGAGCTAGTCCACTTACTCGGAGCTACTAAGTACATCGCTTTGTGTGGAATGCAGAAATTACTTTAATACCAAGCCTGAAAAAGGTAACCAGTGCAAGTATCACAGTATGTTTATTAAGAGTAGCTGGTACCCTGCTGTGGTGCCTCTACTCGTTTGGGGAACGTGTTCCCAAAAGTTCAAAGGTTTTTGTTCAAATTTGAGGCAGGCCATTTGCTGTCTTTTTCCATCTTTGTTTTAGTTATCGGTTGCGTGCCTGAACCATTGAGGGCGCCTGGCAGCCAGTCTTTAGTTTTTGTGTTTTTCAGGGGCTGCATGACTAAGAAGTGGCTATGTCCGAATCACTTAGCTACGGCTGTTGACACACTTGCCTATAGGACATTGATCAACATGTAACCGCTCGCCATGAGGCTTTCAAAGATGCATGAATCAGAGCAAGCCGTAGCCATAGTGAGTCAGCCACTGCATGTTTTTCACTATGTACATGCCCATTGATCCCACAGGGCTCGGAGGAGCTTCAGACGATGCGGAGCGCCCTCCGGAGTCTGAGGTCCAACATGAGCAGCCACGACCCCAACCACCACCCGTTAGACACACTAGAACAGGTACTGACAGATTTCTAGGATTTTTCTTTTCACAGTTGCTTGAAAATTGGTATTATATCTGCTTCTGCACACACTAAGAACAGGGACTGAGAAAATAATCGTTCAAATTTTAGTGCCCTTGAAAATACCATTGATTTGTTTTAATTGAGAAACCTTACATGCTAACAAGTTGAAATGAGATGATAATAATGTATTCATTTGTAAAGCGGAAATATCATACAGCTATGTTCAAATGCTTTGTACAATGAAGACATTGAACATGGTCGAGCCAGTAGCAAACGAGGGCGCCTCGGGCAGCCGCCAAACGACCCGCATCCAAGTACATCTCTTGAGAGGAGACATTGAAAATTGTATTTAAATTGTTGCATTTTAAATCGCTCCTTTTTGCTTGCAGGGTATATGCACCTTAATGGACCATTTATCTGTGTCCAAACAGCGTGGAATGTACAAAGACAGTGACACAGTAAGTTTTTCTGTAGAAGTTGGTGTAGCCTTTTGTGGGATGGGCGTCAGGCTTAGTAAGTTTGGTCAGGACAGGAAATACATGTTTAGATGATTGACGCAGTTCAGAGTAATTCCTGTCTGTATATTTCCAAGGCTTATGTCCGTCTGCAGCCCCGTGCTGTTGACAGGGGTTTGTACTCAAGGCCGGACGCGAGACCGTTCACAACATTAGACACAAAAAAAAAAACCAGGGTGGAATATGAACAAAGGATTGCTTTTGTTGCAGCTCATTTGAATGGCTTGTGACTTGAATTCCAACTGGAGGTCTTGTGTTGGTCTTTGTGGTTGTGGTCTCCCAAGGGGTCTCAACTCCAATAGTTTCAATAGACCATATGCGTGGGGGGACCCAATTGAAGTCCGATTCCCCAACGGTGTGTATTCATTTGAAAACGTTAAATTTCAAGAACCAGACTCTACTCTCCGATCTCATTCTGACCCCTCCCAAACATCACCTGGTACCATCCCGTTGAGAGTTTCAAATGTATACAATGTGTTCAGGGATACGACTGAAATGGGGTACCCTGCGAATACAGTCTATTGTAATGAAACTCAGTGAACATGTGGATGAGATAATTAGAGATCAACTCATCTGGTGAATGTGCTTTTGAGCTAGGTTTTTCTCCATTAGCTGTTTGCTATTATTTACTAGACTCATGAAAATCCTTTAGAAATGAAGACTATAAATTTTGAACCATGTTAAGCCACACCTTAACCCTAACACTCCTCAGTCCTCCAACAGGTGAAGGATTGAGGAGGGTTAGGGTTAATGTTTAACTTGATCATGCCTGAGTTAGAGAATATTATTGGCTCATAACTTTTTCTGTTTTATTCCCGCATTTTAGAGTTCCACGGAGAGTCTCTCTAAGAGATACTCAACAGATAGTAACTCACAAGAACTCAACCACCGCTCATCTCATCAACACTCAAACTGTGAGTACTCGGAGCCTCTGAGCTACCGTGTTGGAGGGACCCATGTTTCATGGGTCGTTCCCCAACATCATAGTCAAGTCCCTTTCCGTATCCCAAAGTACACTGAAATAGAAATTTGGGCATTTCACAGCTGAGTTCTTTGAATGAGTTGGAGTGTGTGCGTTTGAACTCTCTGCTAATGCCTGGAGGCCTGAACCTAATCCAAAATTCACAAATACTTCAAACATTTTCTCCATTAAACAATGCACAATGTTACCGTGTAATAACATTTGGTAATGCCCGCTGCGATTTTATAATGCCTGCTGCATAAAAATGCACTGGCACGATACGAGACAGTTCAATCCATTCCTATTGGCCAAGAGTCTGTGTGTGCCCCGGCATGCAGAACTTTCCACACGAGCACCAAGTCCATGTAACAAGATTCTCCTGGACTACTTGCTTAACCACTTCCTGCCGGGGACTCCGGGATCGGAGACGTATGGTTTATATGGATGGCCGGTGTCTCCGAACT